CTATCGATTTCTCTTCTACCAAATCTAATTTCAAACTACTTTTAAATAGTATGCTAAAATAGTTATCAATTTATATTTATACTTTGTTTTATCGGATAGTCTATACGAAATGTTTATTTTCTAGATTAAATAAATAAATAAATTTCAAACATATCGAAATCACTATTTACTATTTATACAAAAAACACACTAATACATAACCATACCCGTTGGTTGTAACAAGCTGATTCACGGTTTGCAATATGTACGTACATACATATGTATTTACAAGTGCTGCTGCTGTATTCAAGCTTGTTCGATTCAAGCTACTACCGTATTCATTTGCATTCAAGCTATGAGTTGAATTGGCTTGTTTGAAACAAGTGTGAATCATACTTGCGCTTGTATTTGTATCAAGGAGCTTGAAAACGTAAATGAATCAGCTTGTACAGTACACTGGTACATGCACATGATGCAATAATACAAGGTGGTATCAGTTGTGACAGCTCAATTTGACAGCTACCTTAGCTCAGTAGAATGAGAAGAAAAACGGGAAGAAAAATTTCACATTTTCTCCTTAACAAAATTTGCTATTTTATAGTATATTCGTTATGAAATGAAATAAAATAAGATAAATAACCTTTTTAAGAAAACAAAGTATGTATACTGAGAAAAAATAAAAAGCACTCAACTATATTAATGGGCAAAGAATAGTTAAAGAAGTAACACTGTTTCACGTAAGGCGGTCAATATGGCGGAATTAGAGCGAGAAGTTGCCAACTGATAACACCTGTATTATTGCATCATGGTACATGCATACGTATCGTTATCTTAATATCGAAAAGCCTAATCTATCGTTTATATTATTTGTACAGTGTACATAGAATGTTTGTTATTATGAGTATTGGTAGTTTAGAGGGAAAAATTGCCAAGTCCGTTTTGATATATTAGGCCAGATAAATTAAAAATGTATCGTGTCGAAAAGGATTAAGGCACTTGTTCTATTTTTTCTCGTTTATATTCAAAGAAATGCAAATTAGCTATGTCCAAAATATGCACAAAATATGTAATAAAGCCAAAAAAATACGAAATCTTTTAATACAGATCGAATATTTCTGTTTCGTGCAGAGTTTAGCTTTGCTTTAAACACGCAAAATGTATTCAAAGTTTTGCAAAATAATTGAAGGAAATGGCTATTTAGAAGTATGTTTCGTCCTGTAATATTTGTAAAATGGACTTAGCAACTTTTCACTCTAGGCTAGCGATATTCAATATTGCCAGTCACTTTCTGAGTTTAAAATAGATCTCTAGCGGATAAAAGACATAGGTACTTTAAATTCAATGATTCGCTAAGGTAAAAGGCTAGAAGACGATTAGAAAAACTGGCGACAATTGTCTACTAAAAGGTGACTTGGTATCGAGAAAGAGGTTAGATATCTAAATGTATTCTAACGTTGAATTGTAATAAGTTTCCAATGTCTAGTATTTTTCTAATCATTTTAAAATTCAAAATGGCTGCTCCAATATGAATATATGAATTTTTAAAATTCAAAATGAGGATCCAATATAGCGGACAAATTTAAAAAAAACATATTTTAATTCGCTCGAAACTTGTTACTCGGATGTTCTTGGGATTGTTGCCGCGATATTGGAGAAACCATTCTTAAAATTTAAAACAATTGTATGGGTGTCAATTCAGAATTAGTTTTTAATAAATTTGAAGTCGGAACTCAGCGAAACTATTTAGTTTTTTTCTATTTGATAATGCATTTAAAATAATTTCAAGTTCAACTTTTCACGCTAAACTTACAGAGCTATAAAAAAAAATATTTACTAAAGTTAAGAATTTAAGAACTAATTTTTCTATTACCGATAATCACTTCTCTTCATGAAAAAAATAAAGAAAATTTGCAATAGACACTTTCCATAGCTAATCGAAATCGCAAAAAAAAACGTTTTCCTGCTACAGCTAACTGACTGGCACCGACTTATAAGCTTAATTTTTTTTATTAGTTAAAGAGATCAAAGAATAAAATATGAGTAACAGTTATCTATTGTATTGAGAAGTAAGACCATGCCATTTCGTCCCGCTAATTTAGTGAATCCGACCTGTGTGGGCCGGCGGAAGTTTCCAACGATATTCAATGGGCCGTATGAATAAAAACTAAGCAATTGCTTTTTCTTAAAATGTTATACTTTTTACTTCAGATTTGTTTGCATAAATCGAGTAAAAGGTTTGCAATTGCTTTTTATTATTCATACGTTCCAATATTGATTTTTAACAATGTTCTGTAAAACATACATACAGTATCGATCGTATCAATAGTACCCCCATTTCAAAGTGATATTACTTGCCCCTATTTTTTTTTTTTTGTTTTTAAGAATTTTCAATTAAAAAACGGTTCATTCTCAAACAAAACCCATATCAACCCAAGTTTAAAATTTTGTTGAAAACTGAAAAAATTCAACAAATTTTCATCAAAATTTCAAATTCTTTTCTCAGAAGTGTTAGATCTTTTTGAGTACCCAGTTTTATAGCCCATTCAATTTTAGTGTAATAATGTGCAAGTTTCAAGGGGCTAAAAATTACCGTTGATTTTTTATCGTATTTACTTCGATATAACGAATAAACCCTATTTATTTTTATATGAAAGAAAACCGCAACATTTTCGGCCAAAAAAGGGATTTGTAATAAAATCCCGACATAAAAAATCCTGGAAGACTTACAGCTGCGAGCACTAAAATAGTAGTAGTATGCCCTAACGCACACATACATTTTATTGGAAAACTGAAGGACAATTTCATAACTAAATAAAGGGTCAAAAGAGTTTTATTTAAATAAACACTAAAAAAATTAATTTCAAGTAAGATGTGTTTTTACATGATGCAATAATACAGGTGTTATCAGTTGGCAACTTCTCGCTCTAATTCCGCCATATTGACTGCTTCACTTACGTGAAACAGTGTTACTTCTTTTACTATTCTTTGCCCATTAATAAAGTTGAGTGCTTTTTATTTTTTCTCAGGATACACACTTTGTTTTCTTAAAAAGGTTATTTATCTTATTTTATTTCATTTCATAACGAATATACTATAAAAAAGCAAATTTTTTTAAGGAGAAAATGTGAAATTTTATATTCTTCCCCATATGGGGACTCATTTCTTCCCGTTTTTCTTCTCATTCTACTGAGCTAAGGCAGTGTCAAATCGAGCTGTCACAACTGATACCACCTTGTATTATTGCATCATGGTGTTTTTACGAAAATTGCTGCGAGTAGTAAAATAGTAGTATATAATAAATAAAGTGTTAATGATAATTTGTTTTCAAAGAATTTTATTCAGCTGACTTTGTGTGAAGCAATAACTCAACTAAAAGGGAATTGACTCAGTTAAATTTCCGTCTGAACTTAACATAAGCGACAAACTTTATGTGAAGTTTATGAATAATTGTCTATAAAATAAAAATTTCTTGTTTTTAAATGGAAATTTTCGATGCATGTTTGTTTACTCGTTAAGCGTAGATGTATGTATGTGCGTGTAAAAAAAACACGGTGAAAATATATCTACAGTCACCCAGAAGTATTCGTTTTTTAGGGTTTTTACAACATTCGAAATGTTTTCACAAAATTATTTTTAGAAAACGAATTTTTGCAGGGAAATTACCTGCGCTTCAAGTATTCCAAAGAAAGGAATTAAGCAAAGGAGTTAACTATGTAAAGCAACTATCGATTGGAACAAATGCAGTTGGGCTCCAAATCTCAAAAAAAAAAATAAAAATATTGGAATCGATAGAGATGATTGAGCTGAGTATAACGGTATA